GCTTGGTTTTGCATTCTTAAATTTTTAAATGGATAAAATTTCACATTTGCATGCATTAATATATCACCCAGGAATTAATTTGCTGATTTTAGTGTTGAACTGTAGGATTTTATAAGACCAAAATTAAATATTCAAATTAGAAGAGGTTAGGTGGGTTATATTTTGAAAACTCACCTAGAGTCCCCTAACTAATCATTGAAATTGCTAGCTTTGATGTGGAGCTCTACATAACATTGTTTATCTTTTACTGAAGTAGATAGGCTTCAGTGAAATGATGGATTATTATTATACCCAGTGGATTTATATGTTTTTAAATTGAATTTCATAATATAGTCCTAAAATGCAAATATTAGATTGTCCTACATTTCTTGCAATGATATCATATCTTTGCTAAACTGGTTTTTAGTAGTTAATATAATAAAAGTAAATACTGGGGAAAATATACAGGAAATTTGGAATAGGAAGTGAAGGCATTCAATCCAATTGCAAGGTTTGAGAAACTGGTCAGTGTTGAATAGTCTTACTCTCCAGTAGGAAGTAATAGTAGATATTTATATATGAAATAAATTACTAGAAACATACAATCTTCCATGACTGAGTCAAGAAGAAACAAAATATCTGAATAGCCAGACAACTACTAACCAAATAGAATCAGTAATTAAAAACCTCCAACAAAAAAGTCCTGAATTAGATGGCTTCACAGGTGAATTTTACCAAACATTCAAAGGAGAATTAACACCCATCCTTCTCAAACTACTCCAAAAGATTCAAGAGGAACGAAGGCTTCCAAACTCATTTTATAAGTCCAGCTTTACTTTGATTTCAAAACAAGACAAAGACATTACAAAAAAGGAAAATTACAGGCCAATATCCCTGATGAACATAGATGTTAAATTCCTCAACCCATTATTAGCAAATCTAGTTTCAGCAATATGTTAAAAAGATCAAACATCATGACCAGGTGAGACTTATTCTTGGGATGCAATATCAATTCAATGCCCGCAAACCAATTAATGCGACACACCACACAAACCAAATAAATGATAAAAGTCACATGACCATAACAATAGATGCAGGAAAGCATTTGATATAATCCAGCACCTACTTACGATAAAAGCGCTCAGCAAATTGGGACTAGAAGGAACATACCTCAATATAATAAAAGCTACATATGACAAGTACACAGCTAACATCATACTCAACAGAAAAACTAAGTGTGTTCTTTTAAATCAGGAACAAGACAAGGTTGTCCACTCTCACCACTTTCATTCTACATAGTATTGTAAATCCTAACCACAGTAATCAGGCACAGATAAATAAATAAAAGGCATCTAAATTGGAATGGGAGGGAAAAAGTCATTATTTGTAGACGACATGTTACTGTATATACTGAATCCTAAAGATTCCACCAAAAGAAGTATTAGAACTGAAAAATGAATTCAGTAAAGTAACAGGATATAAAATTAATATTCAGAATTAGGTTGCATTTTTATACACCAATAAAAAACTCTCAGAAACAGAAATTAAGAAAACAATATCACTTACAATTGCATAAAAAAAATACCCAGGTTGCCCTGGCCAGTGTTGCTCAGTGGTTAGGGCATAGATCCACACACTAAAGGGTCATGTGTTCAATTCCTGGTGGAGAGAACATGCCTGAGTTGCAGGTTCGATACCCAGCCGTGGTTGGGGCATGTACGGGAGACAGCCAATTAATGTCTCTCTCTCTCTCTCTCTCTCTCTCTCTCTCTCTTCCCCCCTCACTCCTTTCCACTCTATCTAAAAATCAATGGAAAACATATCCTCTGAGGGCTGGAAACAAACAAACAAACATACTAGGAATAAATTTAACCAAGGAGATAAAAGAACTGTATTCAGAAAGTTATAACACATTGAAGAAAGAAGTTGAAGAAGCTACAAATAGATGTAAGCATATTTTCTGCTCACGAATAGGAAGAATTACAGCATCATTAAAATATTTATAATACCCAAAGCAACCTATAGATTCAATGCAATCCTTTTCTGAATACCAATGGCATTTTTCACAGAACTGGACCAAATAATCCTAAAATTTACACAGAGCCAAAAAAGACCCCGAGTAGCCAAATCTTGAAAAAGAAGAACTAAAGTTGGAGGAATCATACTACCTGATATCAAACTATATTACTAGTTCGTAGTGATCCAAACAGTATGGTACTGGCATAAAAACAGACATATAGATCAATGGAACAGAATAGAGAACCCAGAAATCAACCAACTCCTATGTGATCAATTAATCTATGACAAAGGAGGCAAAAAGATATTCTCTTCAATAAATAGTGTTAAGAAAACTGGACAGATACCAGACAAAAAGTGAAACTAAACCACCAACTTACACCATATATGAGAATAAACTCAAAATTGATTAAAGACTTAAATCTTAGACTCTAAATCATAAAAATCTGAGAAGAAAACATAGATAGTAAAATCTCAGACACTTCTTGTAGTAATATTTTTTTTCTGATGTATCTCCTAGGGTAAGGGAAACAAAAGAAAAAATAAACAAATGGAATTGCATCAAACTGAAAAGTTTTGTTGCACAGCAAAGGAAACCATCAACAGAATGAAAAGACAACCTACATAATGGTGGAAGATATTTGCCAACTATACATCCAATAAGGGGTTAACATTCAAAATTTATAAAGTACTCATAAAATTAACATAAAAAACCAAACAATCCAATTAAAAATGGGCAAATGCCCTGGCCAGTGTTGCTCAGTGGTTCGAGTGTCAGCCCTCACATCAAAGGGCCACATATTCATTCTTGGTCAAGGTACTTGGGTTGCAGGCTGGAGGCAACCAATTGATGTTTGTCTCTCACATCAGCGCTTCTCTCTCTCTCTCCCCCTCTCCCTCCCTCCTTTTCACTCTCTCTCTAAAAAAAAAGGACCTGAATAGATATTTCTCTAGAAAGAACATACAGAATGCTAAAAGTCATATGAAAAAATGCTCAATGTCACACATCAGGGAAATGCAAATTAAAACCACAATGAGATATCACCTCGCATCTGTCAGAATGACTATCATCATCAACAAACAACAATGTTGGTGAGGATGTGGAAAAAAGGGAACCTTTGTGTACTGTTGGTGGGATTGCAAATTGGTGCAGCCACCATGGAAAAGAATGTGGAGTTTCCTCAAAAAATTGAAAATAGCACTACATTATGATCCAGCGATTCCACTTCTGGGTATTTATCCGAAAACATTCAAAACACCAATATGAAGAGATACATGCATCCCAGTGTTCATTGCAGCATTGTTTACAATAACCACGAGATGAGAGCAGCCCAAGTGTCCATCAATAGATGATTGAATAAAGACAATGTGCTACATATATACAATGTAATATTATTCAGCCATAAAAAAGAATGAAATCTTAGCATTTACAACAGCATGGATGAACCTAGAGGGTATTATGCCAAATGAACTAAGACAGAAAGAGGCAATACCATATGATTTCAGTTATGAGTGGACTCTAAAAAAATAAATAAATAAATGAACAAAACATAAACAGAGTCATAGAAGACTTACAGATTGGGAAGAAATAAATAAAATTTTATGTTTTGCATATAATGTTATTATCTATATAAAAATTCTCAATGATGCAACAAAAAACTCTTGGAACTAGTAAGCAGTTATAGCAATGTTTCAGAATACAAGGTTAAGATGTAAAGGTCAGTTCTTTGTTTTGTTTTGTACCAGCAATGAGCAATTGGAATTTGAAATGAGAAATTTGTGGGGGTGGAGGGGGATTGGTGGAGGTAGAAGAGGGCACAGAGGAGATACTTGGTGATGGAAAAAATAAAATTAAATTTACAAAATGACATTTACATTAACAACAAAAAATGAGAGAAATACTTAGGTAGAAATCTAAATAAATAAATGCAAGGTGTACATTTTAAAAAGGAACAAATGAACAAACCAAACAAATGCACAGACACGGACAGTTGTTGGGGGCAGGGAGAGGATGAAGAGAGTAAAAGGGTCAACCATATGGTGACAGAAGACTAGACTCTGGGTTGTGAACACACCATGGAATATACAGATGATGTATTATAAAGTTGTACACATGAAACTTATATAATGCAATTAACCAATGGTACCCCAATAAAATTAATTTAAAAAATTACTATTAAAAAAGAAAGCTTCATAAAAAAAGCCTCTTGTACTATTAACTCACAATTAATGAGTTAAAAAATATATTTCGGCAACAATACCACAGCGAAAAAATAACACTTACAATTAGAAAAAATTATAATAGCCTCAATTTAGAACTACAAATAAATATTTAACCTCCAACTCTGTGTGTGTGTGTTAGTACATATATTAAGGTTAGGGTAGTATATATATTTTATTCTCTCCCAGTAAAAGCTGAAAAGGGAATAGGAGGCATGATGAATTTTGATGATGTCTACAGGAAAAGAAAATCCAGCTGTGTTTAAATGGAGAGCGCTCACATATTCATGCCATAATGCCATTGCAGAGAGCAGAAGCGATTTATTGGTCAGAAAAAATAACGTAATGGCTTTGAGAATTACATTTCACTTTGCAGTTACGACCATTCGCTACTACCGTGGTCAGTGTGTGAATCAGAACAACCGAACTGAGATACAACACCAGTCAACCCCCAATCCCTGCTCCATGCAGCAGACGAAATAATCTGTTTACTTGAAACTGACAGTTCTCACAAATTGGGAGAAACACCAACATTTGATTGTGTTATGCATGAGTCACATTCCCCGGTGAATTTTGTGAATCACATAATCATAATTACACTTTTTATTGTTCAAAGAATTAAATGTTATTGATATATAACTCACAAAAAGTAAATGAGGTGTGTGTGTGTGTGTGTGTGTGTGTGTTTGGGGAAACATGACCTTTGTACATGCCATGAATACATTCTGCCTCATGCTATAAAATATATCGTTTCACTAAAAATGGTTATATTTGTTTATTTCAAGGTAGTGGACAGCACTTCCTGTATGTCAACTCATCTGGCCCCAAAGAAGGCTACACGGCAAGAATCACTACTTCCCAGTACTTCCCGGCAAGCCTCGGAATGTGTGCTGTTCGGTTCTGGTTCTACACGATTGACCCCCAGGGTGGGGGCATATTAAAGGTACAAAAGGAAGGCAGATTGGTCTTGCACTAAAATCTTCACAGCATGTGTTTAAGCATTTTCCTTTCTGGTTATCTCTGGGTTGGTCTATCAGTGCCATGTCTTACTGTGTCCACGAGGGCAGGGTTTTCAACACATGGTGCACCTGTGAGAATTGTCTGTAGTTATAACAGGGAAGTTTGGTGGACAGATTGTTCTCTTTTTGTTGTTCTGTTGTTTTTTTTTGTTTGTTTGTTTTTTTGGAGGCTTAAACATCAGCCATTTATTTTCTCACAGTTCTGGAGGCCAGATTCAAGATTAAGGCATCAGCAGGTTTGGTTTCTTTTCATTTGTATTTATTTATTTTTTGTTACAGATGTTTCTCCTTTTTTACCCTATTGACACTCTGCTCCCCATCCCCCCCACCCCGTCCCCAGCTTTGTTGTCCATGTCCATTGGTTATGCGTACATGCATATAAATTCTGTGGTTTATCTCTTCCTTTCCCCCACCACCCCCTCTTCTGAGGGTTGTCAGTCTGTACCCCACTTTCACGTCTCTGGGTCTACCCTATTCCTCAGACTGTTATGTTTATTATATTCCACAAATAAGTAAAATCATGTGGTATTTGTCTTTTTCTGCTTGGCTTGTTTTGCTTAAGATAATATTCTTCAGGTCCCTCCATGTTGCCTCAAAGGATAAGAGATCTTTCTTTCTTACAGCTGCATAGTACTCCATTGTGTACATGTACCACTGCTTTTTTATCCATTCGTCTACTGATGGACACTTGGGCTGTTTCCAGATCTTAGCTCTTGTAAATAGTGCTGTTATGAACATGGGGGTACATATATTCTTTCTGATTAGTGTTTCAGGCTTCTTGGGGTATATTCCTAGAAATGGGATTACTGGGTCAAATGGAAATTCAATTTTAATTTTTTGAGGTAACACCATATTGTTTTCCATAGTGGCTGCACCAGTCTGCATTCCCACCAGCAGTGTACTAGAGTCCCCTGTTCTCCACACCCTCGCCAACACTTGTTTGATGATTTGTTGAAGATCATTTTGTCAATTGAAAGCTTTGTAATTTTTGGATCATTTACCCAAACATTCTGCATCTAGAGTTAGAAGAAAATAATAGCCCTGGCTGCTTTGGTTCAGTGGTAAGAGCATTGGCCTGCAGACCAAAGAGTCGGGTCAGGGGCATGTTCCTCGGTTGCGGTTTAGTCTCTGGCCCCGGTCAGGGTTGTGCAGGAGGCAACCAATCGATGTGTCCCAATGTGTCCCAATCAATGTTTCTTTCTCTCTCTCTCTCTCTCTCTCCCCCTCCCTCCCTCACACTCTATCTGAAGATAAATCAGATAGATTTATCCTCTGGTGAGGATATAAAAAAAGAAAATTAAGATAGACATAAATACACATGCTGTTTTATTTATGAAGTTTTTTAACTCTCACTGTTGTTTATAATAGTAAATATTTAAAATCATCTGAATGCCAGATGTTAGGAATTGGTGAAATACAGTACATTCACTTTCACTATTAAAAACTATGGAAAAATTAATTATGTGAATGAATAATTAGTGATAAAGAGAAGTGCTTATGTTTTATTAGTAACTAAAGCAGATATTAAGAAATATACATTTTAGCCCTGGCCAGTTTGGCTCAGTGGTTAGAGCGTCGGCCTGCGGTCCTGAGAGACCCGGGTTCGGTTCCCGCTAAGGGCGCGTACCTCGGTTGCAGTTTGTCCCTGGCCCTGGTCGGTCGTGCGGGTGGCAGCCACTCGATGTGTTCCTTTCACATCGATGTTTCTCTCTCTCTCTCTGTTCCTCTCTCTCCCTCCCACTCTACCTGAACAAAAAAATGGGAAAATGTCCTCGGGTGAGGATAAAAAAAAAAAAAAAAGAAATATACATTTTAGAATACCATTTAAACCATATATCTAATTTTGAGTATGTGTGTGTGTGTGTATGTGGGTATATATATATATGTATATATATGTATGTATATATAAATATGTACCTATATATCTATATACATGAAAAAGAATATATAAAAACATATAAAATGGTTTAATTAGACGGTGGAGCAAAAAGATTTTTTTATTAATTTTACTCTTATTTATTTTTATAATTTTTCTACATTAACATGTATTGCCTTTCTATGAGAAATAAGGAAAAGAAAACTATGACTATCTGAAGGGTCTTGACCATTGGAAAGGCTGAGACACATTATAGGAAGTGCCACAAACAGCTGACTTCTTGAGTTAATAAAGAGTAAATGTGCTTCTGGAGCACATGGTAGAATATAACTGTGCTAATCTGAAACTACTTCTGACGGTGATTATATACATCCTTTAGAAAGGTTATGGCAAAGAAAATACCTAGGGTGAGGTTTCATGTCAGAAGGTTTGTGAGGCACTATAAATAGCAGGGCTCTCCTAAAAGAGATTACAGTAGTGTGCTTTCTTGCCAGCACACATTTTATGAAATTATATTAGGTACTGTGTCTTACCTGCCCATCTGTGCTCTGCTCCGTATCCCAGAGAACTCCACTTCCCAGGCTCCTTTGCTCTTTGCCTTCCTGGGTAAGATTGGCCAATGGAAGGCACTGGCCAAAGACCTCAGGGCAGGAAGAGGAGAAAAGCCTGCCTCCTCTCCATCTTTTGGCCGAGTTTCTAACTGCACCTCATCTGTAACTCAGATTCCCTCAGATAGGCCCTGGTTTCTTAATTCCAACTTCTAGCAAGTAAGCCTGCCAAATTCTCACTTCTAGCAACTCAGTTTTGGTGACTACTTTCCTTTGTCCCTCCAGTTTTAAAGGAGGAAACATCTTCCTCTACTTACTAATCTATTGTCTCATAAATTCCTTGGTGGTTTTTCATCTCTTCAATAAATTTTGTAACCAATTTTCTGTTATAAGTTTTCTCTATTTTTGAAACATGTTAGAGTAGTTTATATTTTCTAGCTTGTCCCATCTGATATTAGTGTCCAACCGAAAGAAAACACAAATCGTTTAAGATATTAACTTGCAGAACAATGAAAAATTCTGAGTCAGCACCAGTCAGTTTAAATTTGTCCTCCTTATATTAACTTATTAAAATCTACCCTCTAGTAGGAGAAGAAGGAAAACAAATTAAAATACAAATATAAAAACTTCATTTTGTGATGCAATACCTTGAAGCAAGTAAGACAGTTTTCGGTGATAAATAATGACTTCCAGTCTGCGGAGGGTGTATCCTCTGGAGAAAGACAATGCTTAAAGTTAGATTGGAAAAACAAGAAGGAACCAGCCTTGTGAATATCTGGAGTAAGACTGTTCTAGGCAGAGGGAGCAAGCTGATGAAAATCTGCAAAGTTGGAAGGAATTTGAGGGTCAGAATAGCTGGAACCAAATAAGCAAGAGAGAGAGAGAGATCAAACGGGCAAGGGTCAGCTCATGCAGGCCTAATGGGGATGGTGAGGAGATTAGATTTTATTCTAAGAACCATGTGGAGTCATTGGAGAGTGTCTTGATCCGCTTGGGCACCTATAACAGATTACCAAGGTCTAGGTGGCTTAGACAACAGAAATGTACATCTCCTGGGTGCTGAAGAGCCTAGGATCAAGGTAACTACTAATTCGGTTTCTGTTGTAGACCCTCTTCCTCTTTTGCAGGTGGCCACCTTCTCACTCTGCACTCACCAAGCTCAGAGGGATCATCATCTCTCTGGGGCCTCTTTTTATAAGGACATTAATTTCATTCATGGGGTCTTCACCCTCAGAACCAATTTACCTCTCCAGGGCTCCGCCTCCACAAGCTAAAGCTGGTTATTAAGGCTTCACTATATGAAGATGGGGAGACGGACACAAACATTCAAGCCATAGCAGAGAATGTTAAACTGTGGAATAATATAACTTTATTTGAAAATTTAGAAGGTCCATCTGGATGCTGTAAGGAGAAGGGGTGGGTGCTGGTGGGCAGGGGGAGGCCAGACGTGAAGTGAAACGGGGAGACGAGATGATTTCCAGGAGTTCGGGCAGAGACGATAGGGATTGGTCTAAAGTGAAGAAAAAGGGTAAACTGTCAAGCGATTTCTACATAATGAGCAAGACTTGGATCTTCACTGGCATATTAAGATTATTTTCTAAATAAAGCATGCTTTGATTATATTAGTATATTAATGAAGGGCATCATAGAAAGCTAACAGTCAAAGAAGACTTGTAGGATTGATGAGATCAAAGTGAAATTCAAATATGATCTTTCTATTAATTTGGGAGATAAAAAGCCAAACACTTCAGATTGATCCCAGCCTGCAAAGTAGAGTGTTGCATAAAGAAGGCCAATGTTTGATGGTTAAGGGAAGACTGATGGTAAATGAGTAATATTCAGAATAATAAAATGTTCATACAAGTATCAGTATCCTTTGATTCAAAGGCTCAGGAAATTATAGAGCAATGCTAATACATATTTTATTTTCTACATCAGTTTCTTTCTATGTTCTACCATCGCACACATAAAATGAAAAGCACTCCTTAAAATGATGCCGGTTACCTTCTGATCCACATTGCCAAAAGAGCCCTCAGTGAACCAAATTAATTTCCCATGAGATTATATATTAGCTTGTTTCGATATTCAATGTCAACTCACGTGAGTTACTTAATGTCTATGGAAAAAGGTCAAGTTTGACACAGGAGAAAAGTATTTCTGTAAAAAATGACTAATGTCCTTTAATTACTCCAGACTCATTGCTTAAAGATACAAAGAAGAAGGTAGGTAACTTGAATAATTTGTACTTTTATAACATTTTTTTGTAACTTATAGAAATTTTTAAATGCTCGGAAGAAAAAAAAAAAAAAGACCAACTATCTAAATATGTGTTCAGTAATAACAGGTGAATTCGTGCACCTAAAGGGTTTTCTAGAAGGTTACTGTTCATATCTGAGGACAGTTAGCCGGCCTGTTGAAATAGAGTTAGGAATTCTTAGACCTAAATAATTTCTGCCAAAACCTATGGAATGTAGCCTGTAATTGTTCCATTCTGGACGTC